CTGTCACCAACACCAGTGTGGACGTGGCCGAGGGTGGGCGGCCACTGGGCCCCAGCTGTCCCCGCCGTCCTCTCTCATGTGGTGGCAGCTGTAACTGCTGTCCTGAGGGGCCTTGTTTGTAGTGCCAGCGAGTGCCAGCGAGTGGCATGTGCACCCGAAGCCCGTGTGCCTTCTGATTAGGAGAAAGATTTCTTCTAGTTACAGAAAAAGCACCACTTTCCCCACTCTCGTGTGACCATCCTGTGAGAAGTGCCAGGGACGCCAAAACGCCAGACCGAGAGCCACCGGTGTGTCCCTGGCGTCTCCAGTCACTCCGCCTGGCTGGCGGTGGTGAGTGGCCCTGCTAAAAGCAGGGAGCATGGGACCAGAAAGGCAGCACCCGACAGTCCCAGCCTGAGTGTCCCCAGAAGGGCCAGGAGCTCCGCCCTCAGAGGCCGGTGTGTCTGGGATCATGGGCTGAGGAGCAGCCCTGGGCCACATCCTTGGGGCCTGGGGACCTTTGGGTCAGTGGTCCGACCCCTGTGCACATCAGTGAAGGCAGGTGTGCCACTGGGGCTGGGGTGGGGGCGATTGGTGATTTGCTTCTTTTTCGCCCTTGGTGTCTGGGTGTTTTCTGCACTAAATGTGCCGTAACTGCTTTTGCAAACAGTGGAGGATGTCTCCCCTGGCAGCAAAAGCAGCGCCTGAGGGCTGTGGTCCAGCCGTGCAGGGCGCCCCTCCGCCTCCACCCTCCCGGCTCCAGGAGGCCTGGCCTCTGGCTGCGCTCCAGGCAGGCGGAGGGAGAGGAGTGCTCAGTCTGCCGGCAGTCCGAGTGCTCCCCCGGCGCCCGTCCCCGTCCACTCCCGGACTCCAGGCCTTTCCCAGCCTCCCGCCCTGCACGGCCACCCATCCCTCCACCCACTGCTCACTCAGGGAGGGCAGTGATACCCAGTTGGTTTGCACCCGCACTTCCTCTGCTCCCCTGGGAGACTGGCCCTCCTCTCCTCGTCCCCAGACTCCGCCTGGGCCGGCTTCGCTGAGGACCATGCCTTCCCTCTGCCGCCCACTGTGCTGCAGCGAGCCTGGCACACGGCAGTGCCCCAGGCTGCTCGCGGACGGCGCAGTGCAGGGATCAGACTTGCCTTGCAGGTCCGTCCTCTGTGAGTGTGTCACGCTCCCCGCCCCCTGCGTCCTGGGATCCACTGCGACTTGGGTGTTACCATGACCCCTACACAGATGGTGGGCAGGGGCCAGACTCGCACCCAGGACTGTCTCGGTTGTGTTGGGCGTGGCTCTGAGGCCAGCATCTACTAAGCATCCCTCACGACCAGACTGTCCTGACCCCTGACCTCAGGAAGCCTGACCCTCAGGGAAGCAAGACCCCCAGCTAGGAGCCCTAATTATACCCCCCGCCCATGCCCTCGCTTACACCGCTGCCCTGGAGGTCAGTGCTGGCACCTGTGTGCGCACACACACACACGTGTGAACTCCAAACCGATGACCCCCAGAGGAAAGGACTAAGGGCGGAAGTGGAGAGGCCATTGCAGGAATCCGTGCCAGACACGTGGGGGCCTGGCCTAGCAGGCGAGGACAGACCGGTCATCTTCTGGATCCGTGCTGAACGCAGAGCCTTCTGGATGCGTGGCTGGTTGGGACGTGGGTGACAGGAAGGAATGTCACAGGTGACCCCGGCCGAGGCTGCCAGACGGGCGCAGTCCCTGTGCGGAGATGGGACCTCGGGGAGGGAGACGATGCCCTGCCTCGCTGGCCCTGGAGAAAAGACAGACTCTTCCTCTGCGCACCCGGGCGCTCCATCTTGCTGAGGACGGACAGTCCGGCCGCCGGTTGCCTTTGAGGCCGCCTGACTGTTCTCTTCTGCTTTCGAAGCAGACGGGCCCGGTGAGCTGATGGCTCAGCCACAGCGGCGCCTCTTTCCCCAGTGAACAGTCAGAGCGGGTGCCCGGTCAGCCTACTCACTGACCGCACTGCGCCACTCCGATAACGTGACCGACATCCGCTGGGTCAGACCCTTCCTCACCAGCCTTTTCCAGAAGTGCCGTGGCCGTGGCCGTTCCCACACAGGGGTGTTCCTGGTTTGCTTTAATGTCAGGGTGCCTAAAAGTTCCTCCGAACACCCATCGATGTTCGTTAGGGTCTTACCCACCACTTGAGAAAGACCGACCCCTGAAACGGGGCTGTCACACCCAAGAACAGAGCCTGTCTCTCTGGTTGCTCTCATGTCGCCTTGACCGCCAGTAGAGCACGCACATCTCCTCGCCTTTCGTGGGAAATTGATCCCAGGGTCCTCAGCAGCCTCGTCGTCAGTGAGAACGTGGAGTTTTTCACACAATGATTTCTAGCTAGTGATTACTGTAAAAAACGGCGCTGCCTTCCGATGTGTCTTTAGCTTGAGTCCAGCCATTTCCCTAAGTGTCCCGAGATCTTCTGGTTGTGGGCCCAGACCCACGAGTGAGAATAACTCTGATCTTCCATCGACATCGGTTTCTGTTAAAACCGTGTATTTCGTCAGCGAGTCGCGCTCCGCACTCGGGAGCCTCTGGGCCTCTGCACAGCAGAACGGACAGCGAGCACACCTCTCTTGCTCCGGGTGCTGCCGCCGGTGCTCTCAGACACCGCCCGCGTTGCACGCCTGCAGACAGCGCCGCACACTCACGCTGGCGTGAGAGTGTCACACCAAGGATGCCGTCGCCCACCCTTTCTGCCCTGGTCCACCCCATTTGTACCAGGAGCGGCCGCTGGATTTTGACAAGTACCTCTTTGCCATCCGTTGACCTATGACCTTTGCTCGTGGAAGGAGCTGAAGGATTTGCTCATTCTTGAGCAGTCTTACACTTGGAATAAACCCTGGTTAGACTTGGTATGCTGTTTTTTAATGTGGTGCTAAATATTTCTAATGTTTTAAATTTTTTTAATGTCTGTACATTAATGTTTCTACATTGGATTGGTTTATGTTGTTCCCTTCCAGAAAACATGGTTTTCTTTACCTCGGCAGGTACAAGGGTAATCAACAATGAGTCGGGACACTGGACCTCCCTCCCCGTGTTCTGGGAGGGTTTGACTAGTTTAAAAGTAGCCCTTTTGTTTCTTTCTCAGAGACGAGGCTGGCCCTTCAGGTCACCTGGGCTTGAGGGCTTTTCAGCGCTCGGTGGCCGATCTTTCAACAGCTTCATCAGTTTTTTCTGTTGCTTGTCTGTTCAGGCCTCTTGTAGTTCTTAAGTTAAATTTAGAGATCCTTATCTTGCTAGAAAACTATTCCATTTCCCCTGGAGTTTCTGACACACTCCCGAAGCTCGCCCATGCTACTCGGAAGTCTCCCAGATCTGCAGTTAGAATAACGTGGTTTCCGGTTCATGTTTTACCACTTTCCAAGAGCACTCCCCTGACTCATCTCCTGCCTGCGTGCACTGCTGCTGCTCCTGGCCAGAGAGGGGAGCGTGCTGATGGAGGGGTTGGTGTGGGCTCACACCTCCGGTGAGACTCAGGCTCAGGAACCCCCCTCCCGTGCTGGACTCCTCCTCCCATGTTCTGCCCAGTTCTGTCCACCGGACCAGTGTAAGGAGGGACCTGGGGCGGGACTCTGCGCCCGGAAGCGGCCCCTCTGTGGTCCGAATGGCTGCATCCTCGGGGTGCTGAGGGATGTGCCCGTGTGCGCAGCTGTGGGGGGGCACTGTAAGCTGTTTGAAACTGCGTCAGATGCATCGGTGACATCACTCTTAGTTCCTAGAATCAAAAAGAAAGGCATTTCTCCACCTTGCAAATGGCCCCAAGTGGACATATTTCAAAGCTTCCGTGACCCTTGGGTGGTGCAGGGTGTGGTGGGCTGTGGTGTGCGTGGAAGCCAGTGTGAGCACATCTGTGAGGATGGCCCCGCTGTGCTCACTACACTCCCCTGAAGCAGTGGCGTGCTCTGTCCTGGAGGGGCTGATGTGACACTCAGCTTGCCTCGGGGCCTCGGGAAGTGCCTCCTGGCAGAGGTTCCACAGTAGCTGCGCGGTTAGAGGTGGTGGTGCAGTCAAGGTCTTGGCACGGTGCCGGAGCCCTGTGAGGGCTGGTGCCATGGCCAGCCCTGTGGGGGAGCCCAGCCCATCTCGGAACACACCCAGGGGCCGGGTCAGCTGTCGTGCACTGTCAACCCTGGGTCCTCACGGAGCCCAGCCTCCCCTCCCAGCCCAGCCCCCTGCCCAGCACCACCTTCCCTCAAGGGGCCCATCTGTTGGTGCAGCAACCACAGGTCTGCGCTGTATGTGGGTGGGTGCCAGGGCTGTGCCCCAGCCCTGCCCAAGCCCCCAGCCTCTGTCTCCTTGCAGGAGGCTGAGGACTCAGAGCTTCAGTCTCCTGAGCCTGACTCCGTCATGGCGCCTGCTCTCCCCAGCGCCCCTGGGCAGACGGCACCATAGATGCTGGCTCCCCAGCACCATGGACAGCGTCAGAGGCCCTGAAGGCCCCGCCTCACACCCTGGCGTTCATGGCCCAGGAGAGGTGAATGCTGGCCCCGCACTCACCCGGATTTAATCCCTGCGGGGTGGGAAAAGTTTCAGACTAAGGGTGCACTCAGCCAAGGCTGGGGCCCAGCACTGCATGGTGGCAGCCACCCACCCGGCCTCCTGTTCTAGCTGCTGTGAGTTGCTCCCTGGTGTCCAGAAATGAGCGCAGTCCCAGGTGTGTCCCTGCTGAGTCCCTTACCACTCAGAGCAAGTGCTTACTGTGTGTGTGTTAAATGAACCAGAGGACAGGCCGAATGAGTGCATGGGTGGGGGTAGAGGGCTCACCCCTGGGGCCTGGCCGGCCCCTGGCCCTGCCGGTGGGACTCGCTCCTGCTCCTGCTTTACGGCAGCTGCACTCCAGCCCACGTTCAGACGCTGCTCAGACCTGTGGCAGGACCACGCTTGTCCGCAGGCTCGTCATCCTCCCCAAGCCAGGACCTGCTATGGGTGAGGCCCAGAGCCCAGTGGCGATCTGTCATTTACTCAATAGACCCATTTTCCGCTCTCTTTGCCCAGACTGCTGCTGAGTGGGCTGAGAAAATGCCCAGAAGCCCACTGCCCAGGTCTCCCAAGGAAATGGCGAGCCCAGAGACCCTAGCCCGGCTGCACAAAGCAGTGACTGCCCATTACCACGCCATTGCCCAGGACTTTGAAAACTTCGACACCTTGAAAGGGAGCACCGTGTCCAAGGACGAGTTCAGGGCCATCTGTACTCGCCACGTCCAAATCCTGACGGATGAACAAGTAAGAGTGAGGCTGGTTCGCACCCTAAGCACGGCCGTGGGAGTGTCAGCTGGCCTTCCCCACAGGGAAGGAGTTTAAGACAGCCCGTGATTTTAAAAATACTTGGAGGGTGTCCTTTTAAGGGGGAAGGGAGGTTGTTTTGTTTCCAATTTTCCCCAAAGAGTCCCAGGGGCCTCCTGTTTGTGTAAAAGGTATGAATTGCATCATTTCAATCAGGGTGCAAAAAATACCAGTTTTATTTTTAAAGTCAAATCAAATTTGGCTCCAGCCGCTCCTGTCCTCCTCCCCCTTCCCCGGAGCAGCCCTGGACATCTGTGGTCCTCAGAGGCCAGGCCTGCCCCCCGAAGCGGGATGGGGAGCCTGCACGGGGCCCCGCCCCTCCCCAGCTCCCACCCCCGGTCCTGCTGCTGGGGCTTTCCACTGCTCCGGAGCTACTGTCCCTGGCACGCTGGTGACATGCCCGCCCCAGCTGTCTCCACTGTCCCTAGGTGAGAGAGTGGCACTCCCCTCCTAACCATGAGAAATAGCCAAACAGCCACGCAATCACAACTTGTCTTGAGCCCATCGGAGAGCCAAGGTTGTGGGCACCAACAGGAACGACCTGTGCCCTGCAGTCCGCATGAGTAGACAGGGTCTGCAGGGTCCTCATGCCCCATCCCACCCCCGCGAGTCCAGCACCAGTGACCAATCACCAGAGAGAAGTTCCCTTCACCCCAGAGAACGCCCTGCCGTGGCACTCTCTGGTTCTCAGACCTACCCATGCTCTGTCGGCAGAGGGTAATGCAGATGGCGAAATGAAATCCCAATACTCAGAGAGCAGCTCCGCCCCTCCCTCCTCCAGGCTCTGCTCAGGCCCAGCTTGGAGCTCCTCCCCCACCCCCTGGGGAAAGGTCACGTTCCTCCAAGCTCAGCTCTCATTGGGTGCAAGTGTTCATGGGGCGGGGCCTGAGGACTCACCTCCCAAAGAAAATGAAATCCTTAAACACACTAGTAAGATGAGCATCAGACTTCCCTTTCCTTAAGCATCACCTTTCTCAGGCATTACGATCACTCTGGCTAAATAAAATGCCGTTCCCGAGGGATTCTGTTCCTTAGAGCATGGAACACTTCTGCGTGGCTATAAATGGATGGAAGCCTGTAAAATTAATACAGTCACGTTTATTATTCTATGGGGCCGACTAATAAAGGTCTCCCTAATAAAGGTTTTCCATTTACTCTAAATGAGTGAAATTTTACTCTAATTATAGATATAAATTAATGACGTTCTTTCATATCTGGCGTTCAGGACAGAAAATTCTGATGTTAATTGTCCTCTAAGAAAGCTTTCCATCCCCAGCACATCAAGCCCCGCCCCCCAGCAACATCAAGGACTTATTTTTAAAGTCTGCTTTCCAAAAATACGCAGACGCATCTCCGAGGCAGGCGGCAGCACCGAGAGCGCCAGTCTGATGGCTCCAGTCAGGCGGCAATTAGCAGAACTGGTGCTGTATTTGGGGAGGAGGCTGCTGGGCACAGGCTGGAAAGCAGGAAGCCGGGGCCCCTGCACCCCTCCGCTTCTCCTCGCCTGGGTCACTGAGCCCGCAGCCCTCTGGGTTGGGTGGCCCGGGGTTGGGATGTTGTCCTAAGCCAACCCTTTCCCCCTCTCAGGGCCTGGCATGTGCTCCCTCCCCCCTCCCTCCTCATAACGTCATTTCCAGAACTTCTAATACAGCCGGGCCCGGACCCTTTCCATTTGCGTTAGAGAACTCCCAGTGGAGCCCAGAGCAGCTTGGGTTTCTGGCCAAAGCCAGGTGTGTGGGAAGGGCAGGGACAGCCCCTCCCTTTTCCGGGGGTGAAGCATGTGCTGGAGACCAGGGCCCCACTGCACCTTAGGGGCAATGAGAAGCCAATTGCAAGCAAGTGACCATTCTTCTCACCTCCCAGAAAGCTCTGAAGTCATCAGAAGTGGCTCATTCAGGGCGCCCTGGGTCACTGTCCCGCATCTGTGCCAACGCAAGGCCACAGACCTGTCTCTAGCTTTCCGGATGCCTCCTTTCTCCTCTCAGGAGAAGGCACTGTTTGTGCTCAGGGCAAAACAAATCATGCAGGCAAACCCGCCTGGCGTGGGCGGGGGTGGGGTGTTGGGGGAGTGGGCCGAACCCAGGGTGCCTGCAGGAGGAGGGGAGAGTCCCGCCAGGCTGTCCCCGGACCAGGGTGGACGGGGTTTGATTTGCATTGTCCCCTGAAATGTTCGTATGGACTGCTGCTCAGGCACTGTGACTAACCACGAGCTGTAGTGGCCTTAAACCGCTCTCGAAGGGCCTAGAGACTGCCCTGTGGAAGCCATGAATACAGGGCTCCCAGGGCTTCCCGGGGCTTGCACCCAGGGAGGCTGCACCGGTTTTCTTTTTTAACTTGTTTTATGGCCGTGGGCTCTGGACCATGCGCACTGCCTTTCCAATGCACGTCCTGCTTCGTGCCCTCGCCGGGGCCTGTCCCCAGGGCCCTACACTGACCCCGGGGACACCCCTCTGCTTCTTCACCAGTTCGACCGGCTCTGGAGCGAGATGCCAGTCGACGCCAAGGGGCGGCTGAAGTACCCGGACTTCCTGAGCAGGTTCAGTTCGGAGAGAGCGGCAACCCCGCCCGGCACTGACGACTCAGCCAAGGCCCAGAGAGGGAGCGAGGTCCCCGAAGTGTCTGGAGGAGGCGGGTCTGCGGGGTCCCCACCCACCGGAGACCTGAGAGCAGGGACCAAAGCACGGAGCCACCTCTGTGTGAGTCCCTGTCCCCAGGGGTTGCCTGGCACCCTGTCCCAGGCCCACAGTCCCCTGGGGCGGGGTCTCTTGTGTTCCCACGGGGTGGGGGTGACCGAGAAGATGGTATAGGGTGAGCCTTGGTTGGGGGCCACAGGAGAGGAGTCCCCTGGTAGGTCCTCGGTGTTCACCTGCCTGAAGGGGGAGGGAGGTATGAGGAAAAGGGGAGAGGGTGGGGGAGAAAAGAGGCGCGGCAGGTGGAAGGGAAGAGTAGGGAGGACAGGAGGCGGGGGGAGGAGTGGAAGGCCAGGCAGGGGTTGCCGGCATTACTGGCTGGAAAGCAAATGCCCCAGTAGGTGCCCCCATGGATGGGGCTGCCTGCTGAGTGCCCCGGGAAGGCTGGTCGTGCCCACCCATGGTGAGGACGCCGAGGCTCTAAGAAGCTCCCTCCTGTGCCCAGAGTCCCCCAGTCAGACACAGAGAGGCCCAGTTCCTAACCCCGGCCTGTCTGACTGCTCAGCCCTGGGATGGGGGAGGGGCAGCCTCACCGAGGCTCCTCCTTCGTCATCAGAGATGGCAGAGTCCTTCCTCGGAGGGTGGGAGAGGGTCCCAACCGTGTGCGTGATGTGTTTCATGCATGGCGAGCACGCCAATGGAGAGTGACCGTTTGTCCATTCCATGGGCTTGTGCTTGCGGCAGACCGAGGAGGTGCCGGGTCCTCCCTGGGGCTGAGAGTGAGCGAGGGCCCTGCCCCCGTAGACCCAGGGTCTCCCTACTCACTGCGGTGCACGGTCTTGGGTGGGACACCAGGCAGGCAGCAGGGAGCACGGTGAGTATGGGGCATGGCAGTGACAGTGAGTGGGGCGGCAGGGCCGTCGGAAGTGCCACAGCACGTCCACAGCCCAGTGCCCCGGAGCGTGAGGTCACCATACCTGGCAATGGGAGTCACCGTGGCAGATGGAATGAAAGTTGCTAACCCGCTGATTTAGGACAGGACTGTCCCAGCCCAGCCAGTGGGCCCAAGGTGGTCACAGTGGCCTGCACATGAGGCACACAGAGGAGGGGCCCTGTCCAAGGGACGCGACCTGAGACATCGCAGGCTAGGCAGCTGGGTGAAAGGCCCCGGCCGCGGAGGGAGTGAGGGCCCCGGAGCAGCTGGGCCAGGTGGGGACGGAGTCTCCCCTCCAGTCCCCAGAGCAACGTGGCCCTGCTTGACATTCGCTCTCAGTGAGACTCCGTTCAGGCCTCCAACCTCCCAAACTGTGAGAAAATGGAGTGTGTTGTTCTAAACCACCGAGGACACAGACGTGTCAGAGTGGCCGCAGGAGATTCACACAGGCCTGGGGCTCTCCCTCCGAGGGCAACCCACGGAGCCGCCCAGGGGTCTACGCCTGGGGTGACTCGAACTTCGTTCTGCGTGGCTCTGCAAAGACCCTGGGGAAGAGACCTGTGCTGTGGGGTGGAGGGGGCGGGCAGAGGCAGGGACGCGGAGGCAGCTGCAGCAGTGACCTCCGAGAGGCACTGACGGCCCGGCGCTGGGTGGGAGGGATGGCAGAGGCGGCTGGTGGCCAGTGGCCAGACACTGGTGTGCCTTCGAGGCAGAGCCAACAGGGTTGAGGGGAAGGGAAGAGAGCCCAGGAAGAGGGCTACGCCGTTTCTGTCATGGACCGGGATGGGGCGGGGGTGGGGGTCCAGGTGACCAGGGTTTGGCAGAAAGCCCAGGAATTCGGCCGAGTTTGCCCCCACATTAGACAGCCAGGCGTTGAGGAGGTGTTCAGGGGCGTCTGGCCTGGACTCCGTTCATTCCCTGTTTCTGATGAAAAACGCAGTGCAGCAGCCTCACCCCGGGCCACAGACGCTTAGGGCGCCCTCCTGCCGCGGCCGGGTGCGGGGCGGGGTTCCCAGGCCAGTCACAGTGAGCCCCTTTCTTTCACAAGGCTCTTCCTCTGGTGAAAAATCTGGTGTCCTTGTCACTTCGCACACACACCAGCGACATACTCAGTTGGCATCTCTCTAGATCTGAGTCTTGGCTGCACATTGGTTTCTGGAACTGCCTTAGTCACGACGACTCGGCACACAGCCAGCCCACCAGCGGCAGCATCACCCTCTGCACTGTGCTTTCCCTGCTACTTCAGAGGCGACGCTGCCTGTGCAGTCTCGGACCCCTGGGCCTGAGTGACACCTGTGAGTTGTCGCTCTTCCTTCCGTTGTACACCTCCAGTTAAAGGCCGTCTCTCCCTGTCCCGCAGACGCCCGCCAGCGCGGGCACGGCGCCGGGCACCCCGCTGCTGCAGAACTGCGAGCCCATCGAGCGCAAGCTGCGGAGGACGATCCAGGGCTGCTGGCGGGAGCTGCTGAAGGAGTGCAAGGAGCGGGACACGCACCGGCGCGGGGCCATCGCCGCGGCCGAGTTTCTGGGTGCGTGCTGCTCCCCTCCCGGGCAAACCCCAGCCCTTGGAACACAGCGGGGGGCATCTGGTGGCAGTGGCAGCTGGGCACCTTGACGAACACCGGGATGGAGGGACAAGCCACCAGGCCACCGACACGGGGTCCACACCCGCGCACCTCTCAGCTCAGTGGGCACAGACTTGGCTGTGGCCTCTGTGCAGCCTGGCTAGGAGGAGTGGGGCAGGTGGAGAGGGGGCGGCTGGGGACCCGCGGGCCCGCCGCCCACACGCTCTCCTCTGTTTGCTGCTGTCCGTTCCGTAAACTCTTCCGATCACACCAGCCCCGTCTGCACTTCCCCCACCTGCTGCACGCCTCTGTGCAGCGCTCCAGCCCCGTCCTCCTCTGCTCACGGCGGCCTTGGCCCCTTCTCCTCCACCCACAGCTAGACCCTTGTTCAGGAAAACGGTCTGCTCGAGAACCTGTTATTCGTGTTATTTTTGTGATAACCGTGGCTTTAGAATGCCCAAACGAAGCAAGATGTAAACTCCTATAGTGAATGGTACTCCAAAACACATAAATTAAATACAGAAACACGGAATCAGTAATAAGCAAATGTTGTTACATTGATCTGATGTGACGTGGTTTGCTGGGGTTTATGCAAGTTGGAGCCCCCTTGTTTTTTGTCATTGCTGTTGACTTGAGCAGGACGGCCCCTAACTTGGGTGGTCATCCTTATTTGTCATTGCTGTTTTCTCTTTTTAACCGTGAACTCAGCTCAGCCCATTGTGCAGCAGTCTGTCTGACTTCAGTAGTGCTGTAAAAAATTACTGGTTTTCTAAGTCATTCTGTGTTCTACACACTGCTGACGGCCTGCACAAGCCAGGGCGTCAAAGGTCGTGCTGGACAGCTCCAGCGGGACAGTCCCTTCGCTTCCACAACCCCCCCCCCCACCGCCGCGTGTCCTGGGTGGCAATGTGACCTCTCTGGGGGGCAGAGGAACCCCTGTTGCTCATGCACGGCCTCATCTCAGCCTGCGCACACCCGGCTTGACGGCGTCATTGCCATCCGGCCCATCGGGCTTGGTTTCCCTCATTAGCATCAATGATTGGTAACAGCATTCTGCTCTCTGGCACTTGGTTGCTTTTATGATGGAATGGATAGGGAAAGCTCAGTGTATTCACCTTAAACTGAAATCTGATGCTACCTAAGTCTCTCTTAATTATGAGCCTCACTCCAGAAGCAGCTGGGGCTTCGTGACTGGTTCAAGAATCAAGCGTGGGAGCGGATGCGGCATGGGGCTGGGCGATGGTGTTCCCACCGCCCGCCTCCGGGCCACGGGGTGGGCCGCCAACGTGGCATCGGTGTGGCTCTAACCAAAAAGCCAGACTTAAACCCCGGCCTTGCAGACCACTTGTCTCTCAAGAGAAGTTCACGTGTGTCAGGCTTTATACCTTTCAGGCCATCACTGGCCTGAAACTCAAAACGTGGGAGGTCTGAATTCATGCGCACAGCCGGGTGCCCCCGCCCCTCCTCCAGGCTCCGCCCTGACTCTGCCCATCCCTCCCTGGGAACGCCCCTTCCCAACTCTGCTCTCGCTCCGCCCACCCTTCCATCACAGCTCACAGCACGCTGTCCATTCTGCTGTGACCACAGCAGTGGGGACCACGCAAAACCAGGACAGCAGGCAAATGCCAGCACGGTGGGGGCGGCGGGAGGCAGGTCCTCTTCCTCCTTACTGCACCTAGCTCATCGCGTGCACACCGCCCCCTGAGCCCACTCGGTGAAGGCCCCACACAGAGAAGGCACCTCCACGCATGATGAGTGAGTGACCCTGTGAACGGGTGCGTGGGCAGACTGCCACCCATTGAACCCACGTTTCTGTCTTCAGCGCTGGTGGAGAAATTCAGCCTGGACATCAGCAGAGAGGAGTGCCAGCAGCTCGTTGGGAAGTACGACCTGAAGGGCGACGGGAGCTTCGCCTACTGCGACTTCCTGCAGAGCTGTATCCTGCTGCTGAAGACCAAGGAGACCTCGCTGATGCGGAGGATGAAGATCCAGAACGCCCAGAAAATGGTACGAAGGTGCTCCTCCGGACATTCGGGGCTGGGGCTAACGGGCCCGACTTTTCTGAGCCTGCTCCTTACAAGAGGGGAACTCGTGGGTGCCGAGACACCCAGCGGGGCCACTGGCCAGGGAGGACTGAGCCTGTCTGACGTCCCCAGCCTCCCTGCCACCTCCCCTGGGACCCCTGCTCACGTTTCCTCTGCGCACATGCGTCTGCATGTCGCCCGTGTATGCTACGTGTGTGTACATATGCAGTGTGAGCACATATCACATTGTGTAATGTAAGCATGCATGCATGTGTTGTGTGCTAACACGAATGGCCTGTGTCCATGCCCTTGTGAAACGATTCTTTGCTGCCCCCTCTGTCCACTAGTCAGAGGCCTGCCCAGCTCCAGGCAGTGTGCAGGCGCGCCCGTAACCACTGGGGCCCAGACACTGGGCCCAGCTGCCTGCCCATCGGGGAACTCGCATCCAGCCGGGGCGAGCTGTGGGTAGAGGCGAGGCCTCTTTGTCAGGCTTGGGGACGCTGCAACAGCTCAAAATCTACTTCATGGCGAAGGTGCAAAGACTGGGGACCAACTGCCCGAGTCCCAGGTTCTAAGACTCATGCGGCAGCAGATACCCAGTTGTCACGGCTCCTCCCAGAGCCCCCAGAAACACCCGTATGGCAAACGGCAACAAGCCAGCTGCTTATACGAGGCACCGAGGCACCAGGAGTGGGGACCAGCTGGTCAACTGGAAGGGCAAAGCTGGGGTGGGGGCGGGGTCACAGCCAGGTGAAACACTTTACACTTGAACGGGGCCTGTACCATTCATTCAGCAGCCGCCTGCACCAGCCAGACCTGCCCCCTCGTGTGGTGGGAGGAGGGTGCTGCCCCCTTTCTCCCATAAACTGTACCCCACCATTTTCTCTGTTTCTTGGAAGAGGGATTAGAACCTAAAGATGCTTAAGTAACAACTGGAGGACACTGTTTTCTTTGGCTTTTTAGCTTTTTTCCTCAATTATTTGTCATTTTGATTCCCACGTTCAACCACTGTTTTCCCTGACTCACCTTTTCGAGTTTTATCCAAATCATGGAGGAAAGAAAGTCTTTTTTGTGCTCACAGTCCATCTCTGTCTCCTTGAATTAAGGTCCATCGAGTTAAGTGACGAGGACAGCTGGCGTCGTGGGTTGGGCGGCTGATCCCACCTGGGGCCCCGGGCAGGGACAGAGGTGTGGGGCGGCCATTGCCTCCCTTCCATCCCCGCCCAGTCCCTGCCCCGCCCCAGCAGCAGCGGCCGGAGAGAGGAGGGCCGGCCCATGTGGGTTCTTCCCACGCCGCAAGCTGCTGCGTGACGCAGTTTCCCATTGTGTGCAAAACCGAGTGCCCTGCCAGCGTGGCTTCGAGTCCGGACAGCAGGGGCCCCCATCCAAGGCTCAGGCCAGGTGACGGCAGGAAAGCGGAGGACGGTTCTTCCTCTGCTCTGTCTCCCGTAGGCACAGGAAAGGGCGTCCTCCAGAGACGCCCTCGCAAGGTCCCTCCCTCGTGGGACCAGGATCTGCCAGCTCCGCCTTCCTCTGCCTCTCTGGGCCTCGGTTTCCCCTGCTGTAAAAGGCGGGGGTCTGCTGGTTTCTAGGAGCCTTCAAGGGGCCCCAGTAAGAAGAGTGACCCAGTGCCCTGCTCGGAGCCTGCCCCTTGGGCAGAGGCTGCCCTGCTTCCTGCCCACTGCTCGCCCTCATGGGGGCGCAGAAAGGCCGGCCCCCGGGGAGGGGCGCAGGCCAGGGTGGGGGTGTCTGACTGAGGCCGTGCTCACCGGGAGTGAGGGGCGCTCGGACGGCCCTGCTGGGAGCCGGCCCACCTCCTGTGTACTCCTGTCTTGTCACCCAGACCCAGCTGCAGCCACACTCTGTGGTTCAGAATAGTCCTGTCACCCATCGCCCTGGCTGCCTGGGCCTGACTGACCGGCAGTGCCACATCCCCTCCCCCCGACCCTTTCCGAGGAGAGAGCCCCTGCCCAGGTCTGTCCCGTCCCAGCCCCACCCCAAGTGCACAGGGGGAGAGGCTCAGGCCGGCTGTTGCCCTGCAGAGGAGCTAAAGGGCCATGTCTTTGGTCCCCGGGGGCTTTCTCTGCAGGCTCCAGCAGCAGAGACGCCCCAGGGGAGGCGGGGGGGGGGGGCTGCGTTCTCTGGCAGGGACCACCAGGGAGGCGGAGGCGCTCTGCTCCGGGTGGCCGCACCAGCTGGGGTGGAGACCCTCCCTCGGGCCCGGCTGTGTGCCCGAGAGCAGGTGGGCCCGGCATCCCCTTGTCGCCGGGGGAAGTGGGGAGGGAGGCCCACAGGTGGGAGACAGTGGCGTGGCGATTTATTCAGGTGGAAACAGAAGGCTGCCCTGTGTCCCGTCTCCATCTGTCCAACCGAGGAAATAGTCCAGCCGTGTCTTCATCAAGGCCAAGGCAAAGGCCAGTGTCCAGAGTCGTGTTTCATTTTCAAGATGAGTTCTCTGGAGCCCACAGGCAGCACTAAGCAGTCTCAGTCCCCACACAGGGAGCTGGGCGCTGTTCCTGGCTGCGGTGCTGCTGTAGCCAGGCTCCTGGCTGGAGCCTTCACTGGGAGTCCTCGCAGCCTCCCGGCCCACGTGGTCGCCACGAAGAGAATGTGCAAATGTGCGAAGGAACCGGCCAGGCGCCTGTTCCCCAGGGAGAGACAGTGAGCTTCTTTGTTAAACAGATTCTGCTGTCTCGGGCTGGGGACAGGCCAGGAGCTTTTCTAAAATAACCAACCAACTTCCCAAGCTTTCGCAGGCTCCTGATGGGTGCACCTCCCAACCAATGCCTTCTTTCCCAGGCTAGATTGGCAGGCCTCTGTGGTCACCATCTTGGTCCCGATTGGGCAAGCCTCACGGAGGCACCTCCCCTTGTGCCATTGTGACTTGTACTCCCTCCCCCTGTGCTGTTCTCCCGACGACCAAGGCCTGGGCGAGTGGATCAGGGAGTGTGCAAAGCCGGTCCTTCCTCCCTGTGTTGGGGAGGAAGGGGTGTTAATCCCCTTTGCGGGGCTGGTGATGCTGCAGTCCCCTGGGGTGGGTGAGGCTGTAGCACCCTGGCTGATGCTGCTCAGCAGCGTCTGAGTCCCTCTGCTCCCGCCCCGCATTGACAACCAGCCGTGTCCCGAACACACAGACCCACTGACCACGAGTCTGCCGAGCGCCCATCATGAGAGCTAAACGGTGTGAAAGGGGAAGCAGTTTAACTCTGCACTAATTTGCCTTAACGTGGCGCCGTGTTGAAGCTACTCTCCCAGAGCCTGTCACACGTCGTTCCCACAACGCACCACGGTGGCACTCAGACCAGCAGGGGGCTCTGCACATGCTAAGCCGTCTGGTTTCCAATCTAATGGCCCCTAAATGAAATAATCACAGGGCCGTGTGCTGTCTAATTACTAGATATAATTACAAACTTGTGGGGTTTTGTTTGGCGGGGGAGCCTCTTTATTATAGTAACCGACTAGGAGTCCCAAACTGGAATCTCTTTTTTCCTTGAACTATTTGGAAGTTGGTAGGGTATCTGCCTGGCCCCCCCCCTCCCGTTCCCGGAGAGGAATTCGGCAGGGCGGGGGTGAGGGGGGGCTCTTCTGCAGAACCTCGATCTATCGATTGATGGTTGCCTCCTGGAGCTCCTCTTCCCTTCTGCGCAGTGGGATGAAGAGGCCACCTCCCTCCCAGGTTGAGGGCCAGGAGACAGGAATGAGCGGTGGTTTTCAACAGCCCACCCACAAACTTGCAGCGAGCAGTGGGGCTGGCCAGTGGGGCACGGGCGGGGCCTAGAGGGCCCCTGGGCAGGAGGCAGGAGGGGAGCTCCCGGCTGCAGTTGGGCCCCTACATCCTTCACATTCAAAAGCTTCTTCTCACCACCTCCCACCTTGGTTGTTTGTTTTTTTTCCAGAAAGAAGCTGGTGCTGAGACTTCTTCCTTTTACTCGGCACTGCTGCGCATTCAGCCCAAAATTTTGCACTGCTGGCGGCCAATGCGGCGCACCTTCAAAGCCTACGACGTGGGTAGCACGGGGCTCGTGGGCGTGGCCGATTTCCGGAAGGTGAGCCCAGCTCCCATGTGGCTCTTGCCTCTGAACAGGAAGCAGGTGCCCAATGCCAGGGGCAGGGAGACTGCAGAAGGGGATCCTGGTCCCCATTGAAGGCTGGCACGTGAGGAGCTGTCCCAGACCCCACCTCCTTAGGACCCCCAGCTTATCAAGGGCAGAGTGCGCTTCCCCTTGCCTGCAGGCCTGGGTTCCCCTTCCTGAGGGCCTCTGGATGCCCCTCTGTGCCCTCTGTGCCCACTCTGCAGTGGCCCTGGCCCTATGTCAGGCCTTCCCCTGCCCCATAGGGGACCCAGGGCCTGCATCTGCCTTGCAGGGCCCATGGCACAGCACAGAAACACTGAGGTGCTGAAGCAAGGTCCCAGCTGTGGCTACTCAGGGCCCCGTGCCCCCAGCCGCCCTCCATGCGGCAGGGCTGGCTCAGCAGCTGTCCTCTCCAGAGACCAACTCAGGGCCTTTCGTGCCCCAAGAGAGTGCACATCACAGAGGGGCACACGCTGCAGGGAGCGCCTCTGGGGGCCTTTGCTCAGCCTGGAAGCTTCTACCTTGCAGGCCTTTGCTCCCTCTCTCCAGGGGGAAGACACGCCACTCCCAAGGGCGACTTAAAACCCCCACTTTTAGAATAATCTCGAACCCCGCCCCCCATCCCCACCAGGCCCCGAGCTCAGGTCACTGCCAGAAAAAACTCAGTCAAGACGTCAAAGACCCTCTGGTCTCTGACCTGAGAACGCACTCACAGAACACGCACCCCCCGGGGCTGTCTCTGCTTCCACTGAAACTGCAGAACCTTTTCTTCCATGATAATGACCACCGCCGCTGGTTCCCAAGGGCCCTGCTGGACACCCAGCCAGGGGCCTGCCCCCACCCGCCCTGGAGCGCAGCCGGGGACCCAGGACTGTCCCCTGCCCTCGGGGCCCACTGTGCTTTCCGGTTCCTGCGGTTTTTCGGCACTTTGGGGCCAAGTTCTCAGCAGCCACTCTCCTCGGTGTCCAGGCGGAGGCGGGGGTGCGGCGCTGGAGGGCACGTGATGTTAGTGGTTAGGCACGAGGGTGCCCATTACTCGGGTTCGTTTCAGCTGTGTAACGGCAGGGGAGCAACAGCTCAAACACGGTGGGCGTTCGAAACACGGTGGGCATCCGTTTTCCCTGTAGAAGTCTGAGGTCGGAAGTCCAGGGCTGGGTGGTGGCAGGAGGGTCCCTGGGGCCGTCCCATCCTCAGCACCTGCCTTTCTCCCTCCAGGTCGCTTCAGGAGAGAGGGGGTGGGGAGGAAATAGTGTGGGGGAGGGGGGCAGGGAGAGAGAGCGGCGACGCCCCCGGGAGGTGTTCAGACCCGGGCAGAGGAGGCGCATCCCCAGCCCTTCCCTGGCAGCCCGCCTCCTCGAATGGCGCCACGGGAGCCGGCTCCTCCTTCCTGTCTTGCAGGTCCTGAGAGAATACAGCATCAACCTGTCAGAGGAGGAGTTCTTCCATATTCTGGAATACTATGACAAGACACTGTCTTCGAAAATCTCCTACAACGACTTCCTCAGGGCCTTTCTCCAGTAGGGCCCATGGCGGTGTGCTCGGCGTGGACAGAGGGGGAACGCAGGGCCGGTCCCCGAGACCAGTAGAGCCGTACGACCCGGGAAATTCCTCGGACCCCCCAGACCATCTCCAGAAACCAGACAGGCCACACCGAGCCAGCGTTTTCCCGGTGCTTAGCCGGGCTCAGCACCGCGCCTCCACCCCGGCTGCAGGGATGCCCGCTCCGGGCAGCCTTGACATTGTCCCCAAGACTCAGGCACCCCCCCCCATTCATCTGAGCAAATAAAAATGTTACTCTTTGCAGAAATGATTCTTGAGACTTCGGAAGAACCACCAGCGCTGAGATACAAGCTCGGAATTCCTGAGGTTTCATTCATCAGAGCCTGCTGGGTGCCTGGGGGGCACCGGGGGTCCCCTCCCCGCAGCCAGGCCCAGTGCTTCTGCATCCTGGGTCAGACCTGGCCAGCCGGGCCGGTTCCAGTTCTGGGGCTGCCCCTCACGGTCAAGGCCATCGCCCGGAGGCAGCAGCACCCCACTCCCAGGCAGCACGGCCGTCCCCCCTTCCCCTCCTTGCTGGCCCCTGGATCCCAGTCAGGCGTTGACAATGAAAACCAGCCACAGAGGCGAAGGCCACCTGGGACAGACACAGCAGCAGACACAGCAGCAGACCCGGCGCAGTCGGGGGAGGGTGAGCGAGCTTGCAGAGAACGAGCACACGTCAACCAGCAGAGAGGGGGAAAACCCCACAGCAGCAAGTCCTTCACAGGTGGGAGGGAGGCGCCCCGGCTGGCGCAGCTCACTGGACTGAGTGCCGGCCTGCGGACCAAAGGGTCGCCGGTTCTACTCCCAGTCGGGGCACATGCCTGGGTTGGGGGCCAGGTCCCCAGTGCAGAGCATGTGACAGGCAACCACACATTGATGTTTTTCTCTCTTCCTCCCTCCCTTACCCTCTGTCTAAAATTAAATCTTTTTAAAAAGATGAGAACTTTACATCCTCAGAAAACTTGAAGGCAGGTGAATTGAGATTATCTAGTCTTAAAAAAAAAAATGAAGATGAACAGAGCCCCAGAGACCTGTGGAGTAAAATCAGGTGCACCGACCAACACGTATGCACACACGGGAGAGGCCAGGAAAGGAGGGAGAGACAGTCCCCAGGCGTGAAGATAACATGCAGCCGTGGGCCCAGGAAGCCGGTGACCGTCCAGGAGGGCAGACCCTCAGACCCGCCCACACCCGCCACACCAAATGCACCGTCGTCCCGATAGATGCAGAAAAAGCATTGACAAAATTCAGCATTAATTCATAAGAAAAACTTCCAACATCCTGGGAACAGAAAGGAACTTCCTTAGCTGAACGAACACATTTACAAAAAACTGAATGCCCTGGCCGGTGGCTCTGTCGTTTAGAGCGTCATCCCTCACACTGAAGGTTGAGGGTTCGATCCCTGGTCGGGCAAGTGCAGGAGGCAACCTCCCGAAGTTGCTCTCTCACATCCATGTCTGCCTCTCTCCTTCGCTCGCTGGCCCTTCCTCTCTGTCAAATCGGTACGCGGGTCCTCCGTGTGGTCAAACGCCCACACAGGACTGCAGCTGATGCCCTGGTGACTGAGAGCAGGCGTTTCCCCTCGGTCGGGAGCCAGGCGGGCACGTGGCTCAGCACTGACGCTCAGCGTCACGCCGACGGTCCCAGCCAGTGTGATGAGGCCAACAAACAAAACTCCTGGAAAAACGGAAAGTAGAAAGGAACAAATAAAATGGTCCCTTTTTGCAGATGAGGTGGGTGGTCGTCTACACAGGAAATTCCAAAGAACGCCCTCCCCCCCAAAAAAAGGCGAACTAAGCCGAGTTACAAAGTCAGTCTGCAAAAGGCACCGTGTGCCTGTGTGTCTGCAGGGACGCGGAGTCCCAGAGCACCGTTCCTCGTGATGCCCCCGCCCCCCGCCCCTCCCAACCCCATGAAGTGCTTGGGTCCGATTGGAACGCAATGTGCGCGGCGTCTGCATGGAAAGGGCGAGCGCGGGCAAAAGGAGCCACGGGTCGAGGACATGGGGACAGTTGTGGTTCCCGCTGACTGTGAGACTCGATGTTTCGAAATACCACACTTCTCCCTCTGATCTGCAGCTTCTACGCATTCCCAACCAAAATCTCAGTGAGATTTGTGTTTGCCGAGTTAATTTTGAAATGTATGTGGACAGGCAAAGGAACTAGAATAGCCAAACGACTTCTAAAAAAGAAGAACAAAATGGGAGGATTCACACTACCCAATTTTAAGACTTACCTGTAAAGTTACAATAATGACTAGAGTATGATGTTGGCCCCCAAAACAGACTGTATAGATCAAGGGACAAAAATAGAGAACCCAGCCCTGGCCCGTGAGGCCCAGTTGGTCAGAGCGTCCTCCCATGCACCGCAAGGTCAGGGGTTCGATCCCTGGTCAGGGCACGTACCCAGGTTGTAGGTTTGATCCTCAGGGCGCATACAGGAGGCAGCGGATTGATGTTTCTCTCTCTCAAATCAATAAATGTGTCCTCGTGTGAAGTTTAAAAAATAGCCCAGAAACATACACAAGCACAGTCAGCTGATTGGAGACAAACGTGCAGAGACATTTCAGCAGAGAAACGGCAAAGCTGGTTTCTCTGCCGGTGAGCTGGACACACCCTCACGCCTCAGACAGAACCCAACCGGCACCGCAGACCTGAGTGTGAGACAGGAAACGATCACTCTGCAGGGAATCCCCAGGGTGAACCTGCTCGACCTTGGGCTTGGCAATGGGTGGTTAGGTTCTGCACCAAAGGCACAATTCATAAGAGAGAAGATTGATAAATTGCTCTTCATCAAAATGAAAAACTTTTTTCCTCTGAGAAACTGTTAAAAAAATGAAAAAGACAACCTACAGAGTGGAAGAAAAGATCGGCAAGTCATATACTCAGTTACGGCCTTGTCTCCAGAGCGTGAAGAGCTGTTAAAACTCAAAAACCACCTCATTTTTGAGGAAGAGCAGAAAAGATCCGAACAGACACTTTCTCCAAAGGATGTATGTGAATGGCAGATGAACGTATGAAAATCGATATCATTAGCCATTAAGGAAATGGAAATTAAAACCACAGTGAGCCCTGGGTAGTGTAGCTCAGTGGATTGAGCACTGGACTATGAACCAAGGGGTTGCTGGTTTGATTCCCAGTCAGGGCGCTTGCCTGGGTTGTGGGCCAGGTCCCCAGTAGGGGGGGGGGTGTTCAAGAGGCAACCACACATTGGTGTTTTTCTCTCTTCTTCCCTTCCCCTCTCTCTAAAAATAAATAAAATCTTAAAAAATAGAATAAAACCACCACAACAAAAAAATAAACCACACACATCCTCATATCGCTAGAGTTTTTTAAGTGGACACACACTCAGTCCGACGGGGGAGTGACCCACCGGGAAACTGGCTCCTTGCCGGCGGGACTGCAGAAGCTGTTCTGAAAACTCCCGTCATTAAGAGGGGGCCCGACGAGGGGGCTTTCTGGCGGTGAAACAATTCTCCTCGGGATGCAGAACCCCGTCTGGTCCTGAGAGAACGTCCAGCAAACCCACGGAGGCCCTTGGCCAGCCTCAAACCCGTCACAGTCGTGAAAATGGAGGAGAGACTGAGAAGCGGTCACAGACCACAGGACACTGGGGACACAGGACGGCAAAGTGCAACGTGGAGTCGGGGTGGCATTCCGGAAGAGAGGGAGGACGTGGATGGAAGCCCGCCGACGGCCAGGCAGAGAACGGATTCACAGGGTTACACGGATGTTATTTCCTGGTTGATGAGTGTGCCCCGGTCATGTTAGCCCTGGGGGGCCTGGGCAAAGGGCACAGAGCAACTCTGTAGCGTCGTTACGATGCTCCTGTAAGTCTAACATCATTTCACAATGAAAATGATTTTTTTAATGGGAAAACCGTGTCCTGTTGTTCAGGGCCCAGCCAGGCTCCTTCCTCCGGGAAGCTTTCCCGGATTGCCCCTGCACGCTGGGTTTGCTCGTCCTCAGGGCCCCCGAGCCTGACCCCATCTGCCACTCACTGCACCCCAAGCATGTAAGAGAGGGAAGGAGGGTTCAACGTCTTTTCTGGGATCAGAGGAGCCTTCCAAAGTCCCCCCGGGACATGCCAAGAGCGGGGTCTGCTTCCCGCATCCTGCAGATCTCTGTGGTCTCGGCCTCCAAGGGGATGGGGGACCCTTCCAGGACAAGCCCCCGAGCTGGCCAGGCTGGTGTGGGCCCAGCTGGGAGCTGTGGGGGGCATCGGGGGGAGTGCTGGGTGAGCCCATGCTCACAGAGCGTGTCACCTCCACTGGATTATTCAGGGGCTCCTCTATTCTGGAAGAAAAGGGAATGTGGTGCCCTTGGAGGTTCACAGGTTCAAGGATCAGGTCCCCGGAAGCCGAATTGAATTACGGGCAAGAGCTGCTGGGGGCGGGGCTCCCGGAGAATGAACTTACCAAAGGGCTGAGGGACAGGGCGGGGAGGCAGCTGGCTGAACGTGTCCACTGCTCTGCCCCTGGCAACAGGAGGGTTATCTGGGACCCCAGCCTGCATTGTCATCCTCTCAGGCCATGGGGACACCCGGGGCAAGGTATGCACGAGCACAAGGGCTGGACCACCAGAGCCCAGGCCCCGGGCGCCCCCTGCTCTCACCACTGGTGCAAATCCCAGGTGAGTCAGAACCCAGATGTCTACACCAGAGGCGGCAGGAGCAGGAGGCTGGGCAGCAGCTACGTCTAGGAGGAGCCTCAGGCCCCTGGTGCTCTCCAGCAGCCCCTGCAATGCCCGTTGCTACCAGAGGTGGCAGCAGCCGGAGGTCCCCCTCCTGCCCCGGAGCCCTGCCCTGCACCCTGGCCCAGAGGACCAGCCGGGTGCCTCAAGCCCAGCAGCTCCTCCTGACAGCCCACGGCCCAGGGGCCAAGGAGCCAAGGCCCAGGAAGGGCTGTCGCAGGCCTGTGAGGCCTTGGGGGAGGTTACTCCTCGGCGGGGAAAGAACAGTGTCCCGGGACAGGCTCACAGAGGCTGCCATCGCTGCGTCTGCCCCGGCGGCTCGTCCTGCCCTCTGCGTGCCCCTCTGGGAGGTCTCCCCCGGCCCCAAGGCTTCAGGTATGACCCTGAACTACTGGCCTCCAGAGAGAGGGCCTCCGTCCTCCAGGTCCGTCCCCCCCCCTCCGGCTCCGGACCCCTTCCACGGACTCCGAAGGGCACCTCCAGCTCAGGAGACGCAAGCAGAGCAGAGCTTCCCTCCTCCACCCTGTTCCCCCTGCTCCCG